ACATTTTTTTATACAACGCTTTGTTTTCGAGATATTCAGGTGTTCCGGTATATAATATTCACCCTGTATATAAATGCCTATACAGTTAAAAAAGCAATTTGTGTGCAGTAGATAAAGGTTTGGTTAGACCTAAAATAGTAATTTTCTAATAGCGCTAGAATAGAATAGAAAAAGAACTGTCTATTTTTTTAATTTTTGTTGAAGATTTTTTATCAACACCTCATAAGCTACAAAATATAGTTTTAATCAATTTGACTAAAATTACTTTTTTCATATGATTATTGCGGAGTCCTTTTTATTGGACATTTTTTCTCGAAGATTGTAAAAAACGAGCTCTTCTGAACAGCCTTTCGACGTCTCGCGACATCTTTATGGCATGATTAACTTCAAGATTATTGAATTAAAAGTTAATAGTTACCGATAAAATGTAACTAAGTTAAGTTAAAAGTTAAGAGTGTAAAAATGTAACTAAGTTAAGTTAAAGCTATTTAACTTTTTAACTTTTTAACTTAACTTTTAACTTTTTAACTAGTTACTACACAACCTTGGTCATTTCCTTAGTTACTCGAACAAACGTGCGTTTTTAATTTCGATTAATAACGGTATATTTTATAGCGAATGTATTTTCCTCTTTATAGACAATTCTTAGCTAAAGTAGCAAAACGATTAGCTTTGTAGCCAAATTCGAATCAGCTGCTGAGATTTAGCTGATACTACAAAGTCACTTCTTTGCGTGAAAGTGCCAAGAATCTTTTTTGCTTATGAAAGCTCTTCATCGTCGCGATAAAGAAATCGATCGTGTGACGAACGTCATAGAGGCAAAATAACGGCTCCAATTATGAGTAGAGTCCCAATTTTAGATCCAAACTTAATTTATATATTAAAAAAGTACACATTATAGAAAAAAAATATAGAATTATTAAAATAAAAAATCTTTGAATTATTAAAATAAGAAATCTTTTGTTTCTTCAATTTCTTTGTTATATCTTTGTTATATTTTTTTATTAACGTTAGAAATGTATATCTGAATATCTGACGAAAAGTCAGATCAAGCTTATCAACGTTTGTATACGGCTACAGCCGTACATTTTTCTTTTTCATAAATTCTTTTCAATTTTACAACGTTTCCAGTAGTATAGGGAATAGACTATCAGTAAAGTCTATCTTGTGGAGGAATTGTTTGTGGAGGATTCTTGTGTCTATGTTGTTAAGGAACATAATACATTTTTTAATAACATATTTATGCATAAAATTTTTAGAATATAAATAGCATATATGAAATGAAAGGATAATAAATTACTGTAGAATGTCAACCTATTCCTTGGTTTCAAAAATTCTATAATAATTTTTACTATAAAATTGTTTCTCCGTGTGGATTTATAAAATTAATAGGTTTCTAATTATTTTCGCGAATGAGTACGTTTACTAAAGTTAATTAACTAAAATACAAGAAGGAAATATTGTAGTAAGAATTACGTTAACATAATATTTGTTACAATGTTTAACTGAACTATAAAACTACAAAACTATAAAACTATTAAACTATTAAACTAAAACTATTAAACTGAATTATACATAACTGAATTATATATATGATAAGTTGTAGTATAAATTAATAATAATAATATATTTCTAATAATAATATAATAATAATAAATAGGTAATAATAAATAATAGATTTCAGAAATTATTTCTATTTTGAAATTATTGTATACTTCATTAATCTGTCTTTGATTAGAATATGCAAGTGTTATCTGGTCATCTCTACCGTCCACATTTATTTATCTAATTGCAAAGGTACAGTATAGATTTTTAATTGCAAAGGTGCAGTATACATTTTTGAGATATGTTTGTTTTCATTTGGGGTCTCCTATAGGGAGATTTGATCACGACTATACGCGAATTATGTCATTGCTAAATTTTCCTTCTCTAGAATTCCGCAAATGAATCGCAGATAAAGTTTTTCTTTATAATTTAATACCAATTGTTCAAATCTCTTAACATTAATTAATTAATTTTAATATTTGTTTACAACTAATTTGTAATATTTCACTATTTAGGTCGCTTGTATTTCGTTTGAATCTGTCACATGTAGATCCAATCACAAGGGCACGTGAACTTGCATGTCAAACATTACACACGGCCGATTATTTTTCCCTCTCAGTTATTACCTTCAAACAGACCGTTATGTTGATGTTACTTCGTAAATTTTAAACATATACCGAACAAATCTTTTTATTCTGCAGAGTTTATTGGCCATTACTAAATGCCCTATTCGTAACTTGATAACTTGATAAAAATTTTATACTAATTTTGTAATTACTTTTTATAAAGGGACTTATCCCATAAATAAATAAATAAGTACATAAGTAATTATAAAAATAATAAATTTACCAAGTACAATATAAAAATATTCAAGTAATTAAAATAATTTTATTATAACAAGCTAAACGTGTATAACATTTTTAAACAAATATATAGTAATTTCAGTCATAATTTTTTATATGGTCGAAGATTATAAAAATTTTTTTGGAATTTTTACTATTATTTTTCCCTCTTTTTGTACTAAAGTATTTAAATACTAAAGTACCAAAGTACTAAAAAACTAATCAGTATGTTTCTAATTTTACTTTTAATTTAATCAGTAAAGTCTAATAATTTTGCTTTACGATGTTTGCTACAATGTTTATTACTTATGTTGGTATTGAGGGGATGCCATACTTGGAAACTTTATCGATGAAATACTGGCTTCTTGCAAAGTTTATGTTTCATTGCGTATTGATTGCACAGAATTATATGTGCTTTTATATACTGAAGATATGTGCAATAATAAATGGGAATATTGATCAATATGTGATAAAAATGATAAAAAATTTTAAAGTTAACATCTCGAGCTGTTGTCAACAACTGCTCAAATTTAGAAGCTCAAAAATATACAACAAGTTTACAGAAAGATTTCTGCATATATACGTGGTGATGTTTCCCACTAGCATGGTAAAACAAAGCAGCACATACATATATGTGCAAGAGAAACGAGAAAGATAGTATGATCGTGTTAATAAGACTATCGCCTACGTTATTGACATTTTCGTAATTCGTCATCCATTTCATTTAGCACAATCTTAACCGTTCCTTTTAACGTTTAATCAACAAATTTATGTAATTAAATGAAAGTTGCCCGAAGTGACGTATGATCAGAATCGTTAGCTCAGATTTCTTGTTCGCCAAAAATTCGGTGAACTCAGACCAGTGTTTTCTTTCCCACAACAGGACCATTATCGACGGGACTAATTTCAAGTTAATAATACGGTGTAAGTAAAACTCGTTCGGGGTAACCGCGAGAAGTTCGTCTCGCCCATTCAAGTAGCTGTTTGAGAAACGGAACAAGCGAGCGCTTTCCGCGAGCGACGACCCCGATATAATTTGTTTCGTCCATTTGGCTAGAGGCGCACATACGCGCGAAAAGCGTAAGGAACTTTCCTCTTCCTCCCCCCCTTCGCTCCTCTTACTCCGAGGGCGCGCAGTGCCGCGGATATGCTGTTTATGCGAAATCCTGTGGCTCGTGGTGGCGAGAACGGAGAGCGCAGGCGTCCGGAGTCCTGTGGCGGCAAGCGAACTCCGATTTTCTCTAGTGTCGCGTCAACTGCCGCTGGAGAGTCGTGTGCATTGCACCCTCTGTCCCGGTCGTGCCGACAACCCTCTACCTTCTTCGCGTGCTTTTCGTTCACGTTCTCCGTTCATCGTCGCTCCGCTCCGGGAATTTAAGCCAAGAAAAAAGAAAAGGGGGCGACCTCCGAATTGCACGCGAATTGGCCGTCGCGCGGCCGATCGAATCGCGCTGTTTCGTGTGCACGTGAGCACGTTGTGAACGACGTCGTGTGAGCGCTCCAGGCGACGAGGCCCGTTGTCTCGCACCCTTTCGCGTCGCTACGAAAGCCTGTATCGCGATCGACTCGGCGTTCTAAACGACGGCGATGACGACGAGCTCCTCTTGACTCGCGCGGGTCGATTTTTCCATCGGCACATTAGCCGAGCAAGCGGCGCGAGGCGAATGAGAGTGCGAACGAGGGTCGGAACGACGGCCGGGTATAGTGCGTGCATTTCGTAGGCGAATAAAATCGCTCGATGTGACTGGCGGCGTGGGCGCGATCTTTCTCTCTCCCTCTTTCGCGTGGCGGCGAGAGTTCGTTGGAAAATAGCGTCTACCCCGTCCCGCATTTCCGGCCGTTGTGAAGCCGCCACCGCCGCCGCCGCCGCCGTCGTCGTCGTCGCGGAAGTGTCAAGTATTCGTGAAGAAGTGCATCGATCATGAATTGGTACGACGTGCGAGGTCACGCGGATTCCGCCAACAAGTCGTCCGGACGCTGAGGAATGTTCGCATCGGGTGCCAAAGCATGAGAGACGACGCATTGACGTAATGGTAAGCTCATTGACATTCTCTCTGTGCCTAAATTAGCGCGTTACGTACGAACGCGCGTTTCATTAGCGAGAGAACGGAAGGAAGGAAGGAAGCGCCGCGAATGCCGGCTGCCGCATAACGGATTAATCATGACCGCGAGGGAGCGGAGTGTTCTGTATTGACGGTGCGTTACACGCCATGTGAACCCGCGTAATAAAATTGCGGGGCCGAAAGTGTGCGCCACGCAATTTGCGTGACATGAGTCAAACGTTGTTGCGATAAAGTAATATTCTCGTGGAAGAATTTCACCTTCTATTGGGAGCGCGGAAGGATGGGAAATGGAGTGAGTGAGGGAGACGTTGGGGAGATTGAGTGACGGAGAAAGAGGACAGGAGAGAGAGAGAGTAGAGCCATCAGCCATTAATGGCACGTGTCGAGGTGCGCAATCTACATACCTAAGTATGTACATAGACGGCGACAGGCACAATGGTGACCCGCGATTTCAGATTCTGTGTTATTCTGTCCCAACTCGTACGCATCGTCACGCAGGTGCAGCGCGACCTCGGACGTCTGTGATCGATTGAGCGAATTATTCGATCGATCGACTCGGCATGACCGCGGAAAATCGGATGATCTCCGCGTACGAGATGATGCATGCTATAATCGCGTTAATCTTGAGAGAGAAAATCTCTCGCGGGCTCTTCGACAACGGTGTTTTGCACGCTTCACATTCGTTGGCCGGGGATCTAATGAAGCGTCGTGCAGACAGGTCCTTCGGGGATGCGTTTATGGCGCGGCGTGGGTGGTTCAAGCAGCGCCGAGTCGGCAAGTTCGAAGCTTTCGAGATTTGGCCGTTGAGCAAACAGAGAATATCTCTCGACTGGCAATGATTTATTCGACGTTCCCGGAATGACAGCGGGTGACATTCGTGTGCGCCCGACATGCGTACGACGTGTACGTGTTCAAACACGTGACGGGGATCACCATGAGCCCTGACACTCGTTGCGCGACTGCCTTTACAAACACGGCGCGCATACTGCGCGAAGTTCACAATCTGCTGACGTACCTCTTCGGCCAAAAATCGCTGCACTCGTGTACTTTACAGCAGGCGTGTTGCGAATTTGTTCCGAAATTTCGGACGGATCGCACATTCGTTCGTTCACGTCCTTGTGATGTACGCGTTCGCGGGCTCGTGAATGAATGAACAAGGATATTTTCCGATATTACACTCAGTTTCGCGAATGTCTTACCGTTCGATGGATTGGTAGTTGCTAACAATTTTCTACCAGCTGTATTTGTCTCTATCCAGATAGACAGGTGTACGTCAAATCGACAGTAACTATTCGATTTGTAAAGGCCGCATCCCTTATGAGTGTTTCATATGTCACTCGCATTTAGAGTGACAGAAGTTTAGAGCATATATATATATATATATATATATATATATATATATATAGAGTGACGAGTAAAATTGTAAAAAATACGAATAAAATTGTAAAAATATACTCAAAATGTTATGTTACGTTATGTGAAACGTAATATGAAAATCCGAATGTAACTTTTAGTAGATTTGTCGCCGCATTAGTGCAATAAAACATTTACATTATTGAGTGATGTAAATTTAATAATTGATTTAATACAGTATATTTGCTTCACAAATGTCTAAAAAATCTAAAAAATTGTATATCATCGATTATCTCGCGTTGTTAATCATGGGAGTCTATCCAGACAATTAGGTGTACGCAAATCTGCTTGATTTGCAACATTGCATTCCTTATGAATGCTTAATTTTTTACTCATATTCATCATATAGGGCGATAAAATAGAGAAATACGAAAAAATTATCGAAATTTACTTGAAACAATCTATCAAGTAAAATATAATGTGAAAACCTGTATGAATGAAACTTTTGGTAAATTGTTGCTGCATCAATATAACAGAAATCCTCCATTATTGTTTGACGTAAATTTTATAATTAATTCAATACAGTATATTTATTGCATAAATATAATTAAAAAAAGTGTGATCTTCATCGTGGATTGTCTTTCGTCGTGAGATAATTTCATGAAAATCTATGCGAATGACTACATTCCTCACGACTGTTGAATAATCAAGAATGTTTTAACGTGTTCGAAGCAGAAGTGACGTTTTGATAGTTTTACATTTGCGTAAAGAATGTTGTCTGTTTACATGACATGTGCAATCGGTAATTGTTATTTAATTACTTATATTAATTGTATATATATATATATATATATATATATATATATATATATATA